CAACCCCTACGATTCTGTGATTCTGTGATAGATGTTTTATATCTGAAAAGACTGGAAAGACCTCTCCACCGCCTAATGATTATATTTTCCAGATAAAACTCATTTCTTTTTTGTTTGCAGGAAGAAAACAGGCCAGTAGGTGGATTTTCTCTTCGTGGCTGTCTTGTCTCAGCTCTGGAGGACAACGGAGTCCCAGCAGGTAAGCACAAGCCTCTAAACTTCCATACGTATGTATTTATACCATAGCAATCCAGTCTTTGGGTGTGAGTTTGTGTGTATGGCTGGCTGTATGCACAAGTGGGCTGGCCTTTCCTCTCCCCTTACAAGCAAGTGAAGAGGCATATCATAAAAAATCCCCATACTGCTGGGGATTTTTTTTAGCATTACTTCCATGTATCTTGGGTGTTCCCCTTTTTATGGGCTTTTCTCACTCAGATGACCTCTGAGGCAGGCCTAAGACCCTGATTGATATTCCAGAGTTAAGAGACAAAGAGGAAATGCCTTATTTTTGGATGTTGTTTAACTCAAAGTGTTGAGGCATTCCCTGGTGCCATCCCTTTTCTGTGTGTCCTCTTTATGCTATTACATTTTCCTTTTTGATCTGCTAGAACAAAAATGTAGGGGTGACACAAAGACAGCAATACAAAAACAAGTTCTGCTAGTGAATGTGCTTAGCTTAGGCATTTGTCTAGAACCTCAACCTCACAGATAAGTGTTTCTGCTGTTAAAGCAATTTATTTTATGACAGTAAGCACAATGTGTGGATCTCGAATAGAGAGAAACTTTCTAAAGACAAAAGACAGGGTCTGAAAAAAGATACGGTCCAGAATGGGGGGGCCATGATAAACAATAGAGCTCCTTGCTAAGAGAAACCCAAAGATGGGCAGGAGCAAACCTAGTCTACTGCACAAACTGGTAGGGAGTTCATCCCTCCATTGTATAACTCAAGTAAGATTCTCCATCTAAACAGTGGCTATTTAATACATGAAGCATATTGCACAGTAGTTCATACAGTCTATGTGAGGGGTGTCTGTACTATATCTTTATTTTGCAGAAAGGAAACCAAAGATACAAAAGCTTTAGCTGTCTTATCCATAATGACATGGAAAAGTCTGATACCCTAATTCACTAAATTAAAATTCTTCCCTATGAAGCTTCATATCTGCCACAAAGCATTTCTTTGTGTACCTTCCTGATCTGTCTTTTTTTTTTCTCTGCAGGGGTGAAGGGCAATGTGCAAGGCAACCTCTTCAAAATCATCACCAAAAATGACATTCATTATTATATCCAGGCCAGCTCCAAGGCAGAGCGTGCACAGTGGATTGAGGCAATCAAACCACTGACATGAGCAAGGTGGACTCCATGCCAAATGAAATGTCACATTTGTGACCATGTTTCCTGTTCTCATTGTCTAGGAGTGTTGTTTTTCCCTGAGATTGTCTATTTTTGTTATTTGTATCACCATAGCACCTAGCAATTCCTGGCAGACCAGCATCCAAGGTGCCTAGGAGTCATGTAGATTCAGAATAATTCCCCACCAAGAACTTACCATCTAACCAAGAGACAAAAGACAACAGGTGGATACAGAAAAATGGGGCTTTACAAGGAAACAATGAGATATATCCCAAGATTGATGAAAAGAACTCTTTTGTACAAGTATTCAGTCTTTACCTGACAGATCCAGGTTATGCTTTATCCTAAAGCAGAAATGTCTTGCTCCTTTCCCCTTTAGGGGCTCATAAACTTAATTCATTAAGACTGACTGAATCAAAGTCATGAAAGGTCCTGGTGTCTGAGGTTGCCTTTCTTGGTATGCCACAAGAGTCTCGTGCTAAGCCACAATCCAGCTGCCAGGATACTCACTATTGCAAAACAAACCAGGAGTCTGTCTGCCCATCTGTCTGCTCTACCATTTGGGTCTCTGTTAGGCTAGAAAAGACCAGAGGATCCTCCTCTCCAGTATATAGATTATTCTTGTGCTGGTAATGAGCCATATCAGTACAGGATCCTGAGTATCAAATCAGACCAGTGGCAGTTTTTCCAGACAGTCACTGGTGCTGAATATATTGGAAGAAATCACTCAGCCATAAAAGCAAGACTTTTCCTCCTTATTATCAGCATAAGTCCATTTATGTGGAGCACCATTGGGACTGAGAACTCTAATAGCAGTTCTGACTATTGCTTTTTCTGTTTTAAGCCATAAGCCATTTGTCTACTAAACTTGATTTTGATATAATTAAATATTAAAAAAAAAAAAAAAAGTTCAGTGCATTTGAATCTCCTGTTCTCTTTAGACATGATTTTTCTCAGAGGGCAGTTTGAGGATACGAAAATAATGGTTTCATACACTGTAAATTTAGATTTGTATAGAAACCGAGACATTCTCCACAACACCAGAGGGTTGAATGGAATGTAAAACACCCAACAAGCCTGCTGATACAATATTTTCATAAAATTCATCGTGTTATCTGAGTACCTGTATCTGAAAGCCAGACTCTGCAGAGCCTCCAAAAGTCCTCTGAACACAGCATGCTATATATCTTCCCTGAAGTCACAGAGGAATTTGATAGCCCTCTATCCACAGAACCACTTCTTTGTAGAATTTTGTTCTCCATGTTATGCACTGAAAAATAAGTCTCTTCATCTAGAAACTTTCCCCTTCATCCTGTGTTATAACTAACCAATTATAACAAAGCCAAAGGCAGCAGCTATGATATATTCTTATTAGAATAGCCATGTATTTAGGACTTCTTTGTAAATCTACAGCAATGTAATAACAGCGCAACACTCACGTGCATTCAAATATTTAACAGAGCTGGTAAAGAAGTTTGCCAGCAAGGATGCAGTTTTAATTAGATACAAGAATAGGCAATGCAGTTTCAGCTACAGATACCATTTCCTGGCGCTGGTCCAGAGAAGACTGTGAAATCCACAGCTGTTGAAACCTTTCAATTCATGAGAACACTACCTGCAAGAGACAGGGATGGTGGTGAGGCATTTATTGCTCTGTACTGGGAAGCACAAATGGCTTTATGCTGACTGAGCAGAGTTTCCAGGAAAAGCAATTCTCTCCTGATAACGTGAGCCTTGCTGGGGCCCACCAGATTCCCTTATTCACTTAGAAGGAAATAGTCTGCTCCTCTTTTCTCAGTCCCACCACCTGCATAACTGCCCACTTCTAGTCACAAGGGTAACAGCCACCCCACAGCAGAGGACTGACCTCCACCAGCTGGCACGCCCGGGGGGTTAGGGGACCATGAGGATGTGAGATACTGCATAGCATCACAAATCGTGCAGTTTGGGAGGCCAAGAAAGTATCTCAGCAAAGGCCCTCTGATTGACCTGGACCAGCCATAGCTCTGCAATTGCTGAGTGTGTATGAGAAAAAAAGTGTGTGTTTCAAACACATCAGCAAGTGAAAAAGATACAGTTCCCACACTCCAGAATCAGCCAGGGGAAAATGACAAAACTTTTCTCAGACAGGAGAAAGTACATTTGCCTCTGTCCTCTGGTGATATTGTGGTCTCCTTTTTTTCAAGCCACTTTGGTAAGCTTGATGTCCCCTGTGATCTGCAAAGCTTTCACTAAGTTCAGGGGCTGAACACGGTGAGTGAAGTCACAGAGCTGCCGTCCATCAAGCAAGACTCGTATTTGCTGGTGTTCACATAAGAGCTCCATCTGCAATGGAAAAGGACAAGGGATGGTGTTAGAGACAAGTGGCAGAGCTGATTTCACCAGCATGGACTTAGAACCCCATGTGATGGGGATAGTGAAGCACAAAGTCTACCAGTTCTTCTGAAATGCCCCTAATAAGTAACCTACTCTCTGCTCAGATGATGCTGTATCACAGAATCACAGAATGTTAGGGATTGGAAGGGACCTCGAAAGATCATCCAGTCCAACCCCCCTGCCGAAGCAGGAACCTAAATGAGAAAGCTCCTTATAGTGCATCTTCTCACTAAGACTAGAGAAAGGAATGGATCTCTCTCATTAGGGCTTGAACTGTTGCTCTCTGTGCCATACCAGACTAGTCAACCTGTCAGTTTCAATAGTTAGCTATTTGTGGCCTTATACATATCCTTCAGCCTTTCTCCCCCCCCTTTTCTTCATCCTAATCATAGTACGCCAAAAATTACCTTAAATGTGTCACCTGCCATAAATGGGAAGTAAGGAATAGTCTTCTCTTCTCTTCCCCATTTCCCAGCAATTCGTGCATTTCGGGTGATGGATTTGTCACTGAAGTTTACTGTAAATAACAGCCCAACATCTTTGTTTGTATCTACTGGATCACAGAGCAGAGTCACTGAAAAGCTGAAAAAAACAATTAAACGACTGTGACTTTCAGAAATGTGAAAGGACATGGTGAGCACATCAGAAGCCTATAAAAGACTAGAGATGGCTACTGATTTCTTGTCAGACTGAAACGTGGGACTCCTACAGGGACTCTGCACGGGCTTAAAAGCTGCAGAAAGGGATGAGAATAGTCTGGTCCTTGTTTCTCCTCTGGTTTCTGGTAGGATGCTAGTGACTTCTGGTGTTGCTTTCCCTTCTTGTGACCAGAATCAAACAGATTTGTGGGTGAGATAATTCCAATTTGTATCATAAAAGACGTTATGGAAAACTCTTCACCAGTGTTGATTGCACTAGAGTTGCTCACTGTAGATGCAAAAAACTGTAATGACAGCACACTGTCATCCAGACTAAACACAGTGATGAACCTGCACCTCCTGTGCCAAAACCACGGGTTTTCAAATGGTGTTGATTCCAGCCCCCAGCAGACAACCCAGATGCAGGTTCAAAACTGCACCTCTTCCTGGAGGAGAAATGCCTCTTGTGTGCATTAGATAAGGGCGAGGAGTAGAAAATGCTGGCAGGGCAGTCAGAGGGTCCAAACAGTGAATTCTTTCTCACCCTTTTAATCTCAATCTAAGATCAGGAAAAATAAATAGAGCTATAAATTATTAATCTATATGACTTTCTTCCTCCCAAAGAGGACAAACCCTCAGGAAATAATTTGAATCTAGCAGGTAGGAGCACGTATGGCAGGGGTGAAGCACCCACCAGCCCCTTCACTTACCTCTTTGGGTTGGAGTGTACCACCCCAATGACCGTGAGCTTCATGGCTGGTCTCAGGCCACCTTTAATTTCACCAACATACTGCTCCATCTGCAGGGAACAGTGAAAACGTGCTATGGTAGGTCACACTCTGGGTAAACAGGCTTTAACAGCTGCTTTGGTCACCTCATATAGCTTGATTTTATTTTTACATGTACAAAAGAACTTAAAAATATTTCTAGCCTAAAATGCTTCTTGCTCTTTTGGTATAAATTCTGTCAGTTCTGGTATTTGAGGCGAGCGAGATGGCTGCCATAACCAAACAGCTGGTAACTAGGTGTTGGCTGCCTGACAGGGCTGCTGGCCAGGGAGTTTCTGACTAGAACAGCCATGGGTAGGATGAGTGGAGGATGAGTGGCCACTGTCGGTGCTCCACCTGACTGCCATGCCTGAGTGATGGCCCTGATGGCATGCCTCGGGTGGCTCTGGGAACAGCCACCACTGACTCGGGGTGACTCACGCCACTCCCCAAGTCCAGAGCAGCTACTGCAAGCACTGAGGCTGCGGTGACCCACATGTCTCACAAGTGGCAGGACCAAGATAGCTGACACACCTGGGACGAGCCGGGGATGGCTGCTACGGTCTAACAACACACTGAGTCTGGTTGCAGCACTCCATGCAGCAGATCAAAAGCTTTGTGTCAGCATGATGCAGAGCGTGGATTCTCTGTGAACTTAGTCTGCCAGCTTAAATTTGTTAACGGATTTCAGCAGGCTAACTTGACACTGGCAGGCTTTACACCGGGACAGGTGGCCTCTGTCCTCTGCCACTCGAGCACAAAGCCAGGACAGATGCTGCCCCACCGCTGCATGCTGACAGAAACACAACCATGTTCTCACAGCGGATGCCAGTCACACCTGTCCCCACCGCTTTTTCAAAGCCAGAAAATGGTTTCTCGGTGGATTCACTTTTGTCCTGTTCACAGAGACCTGTAGTTGCAAACTCCACCCAAAGATCAGAGCTGCATTTACTTGCTCCAAGTAATTCTCCAACCAGTTCAACAGTCAGTGGAGAAGCTAATGCAGGCGATGGTTGACATGGAAAAATAGAGAGCTTGGCGACAAATGTGAGGGACATTTTGAGACTTTAGTTTCAGAAATGGCTTTAAAACGTAAATGCCAGAGCACTACACTGTAGCATGTAATCACTCCCTACGCAGAGTCACTTAGAAAGAAGCTGCTATAAAACACTGAGCGTTATTAGCAATTTGTGTAACACTGATAATATTCCAAGGCAATGCACAGCAGACCCTGTTTTAGATAAAAAGCACTTTATCATTCCAAGGTTAAAATTCATACGCTTTTTGCTGGAAGACATGCACAACATATGCATGGTTTAGTATTTTGACTATGAGAAGCACTACATCAGCATGGAAACCCACAGACTTCTGTTCACAGCAGATGGGCTTCCATTTAAGTGTAAATTGCTATGGGTATTTCATAGGTATTTTTAGATTTTCGAAAATATAACCAATGTTAGATTTTGAAATTACTGAATGCCACCTTACTTAATGGAAACACGAATTCAAGATTAAAAATGTTTTGCCCATACTCCACTTCCCAATTTCAATATACTTGTTATACCTTCTGCTAGGATGACCTTCAACAATTTATTTTCCCACCTTGATATTTACATCCAGCCACCTTCACAGATATATTAACCTCTAATTCCTAACAAGGCCAATATTGGAAGAAATTAATTAAAAAATATCTTTAAAAATGACAGCACTACTGCTGATTGTTAGTAATGTGCATTTACCCTTGCAGAAGTGGGCAGGTATGTTTTGAACAAAAGAAAAGCGTCAGCCACCTGAGATGTCTTACATGACCAAGCAGCTCCTCAAGTTAGGAGTCTGACTATAAGGAGATACTTTAAACTGGATAAAGCAATTAGAGAGTGGGTAATAAGAATAAAAGATCGCAGGCTAAATGAACTTCATCCTCATACAGGTCCTGTATCCCACTAAAGCTCCTTCCTTGCTACAGAAGAGACAAGATACAAAATAATACCCCAGATTTAAAGTGCATGTTGAGAACTTGTTTGCACAGAGCTGCACCATAGTAAGCACCATCATTAAAGGCAGAGGGAATCCGAACTGCAATAGATTGAACGACGACCACATGGTCTGAACGCCTAGAGCTCATCCAGCATGGCTGAAATGAGTCGAGGCATGACTACCCATGCGCCATTTGGGCGCAGTGCAGGTGGAACGTGGTCAGGAGGCCACAGGTGTATGTACCACAATGGTACCAGCTCCTGTGGCACCTGACAGGGTTTACTGGTGGGTCCCAGCACGTGCACACGCACACAGCCCCCTTCCCCTATTTTCCATTCAGGAGCCCGGGGGCTCACTAGGTCACTTACTGTGGGACACCTCTCCTCTGTCATCACCGCTCTGGCTCCTGCCCTGGCCTCTGCCGCAGCAGTCCCCGGAGGAGTTTTTGTTTTGAGTGCCAGGACAGAAACAAACAAAAAGTCCGGAATAAAGGGAGGATGTTGAGGGGGCTTATCTGTGCCAAACACCGGCTGGACACCACCCAGCTGAGCAGCTGAGTCACCGCCCTCCATGCCTCGTCCCACCGGGGAAGCTCACAAGTCCCAGGGCTGGTGTGGGTGAGAGGGCAGGGGGACAGCGAGGCCGGGCACAGGGCTGCCTGGCGAGCCTGTGTCTGCAGCTGCAGCGGTACCTACACATTTTATGTGGCCATTTAGAACTGTGTGCGTGCGTAGCACTTTTTATTTGTATATGTAATGCATATAAATCCCATGTCCTTTATTTTGATGCCATTTATGTCCTCACTCAAAGAGGTAAATACATGTAAGATATATCCTTATATAGACCTATATATATAGGGCGAGGAATACATATAGGGTTAAACACAGGTACAAGGGGTAAATACACAGCCGCACACATGTGTAGACACCCCTAGAGGTACACCTCTCTCTCTGTGTGTGTGT